CCCAGTGGTGCCCCACGGATGCACTCCAGATTGGGCTTTGAAAGGCCAAGCGTGCCCCTATGGCAGAGAGATCCCTTTGCCTCTCTCTACGTTCACACTGCCCACTGATCCCACTCCGCTGGATTACATCGCAGGTCTTTACTGTACGAGCTTGTTCTTGTGGCCCATCGTCCTGGTAGGCTTCTGCTGCCGCTGCCGGGGCCTGCGAGAGCTGTTTCCCTTGGCGCTGTACCTCGCCACCTTCGGGTCCGTGATCCTGGCCCAGCGGTTCGGCATCACCTCGCCACGGCCCGCTGGCTCGTGCCTGACGCAGTGCGGCATGCCCAGCGGGCACGCGTGGGTGAACATCGCGATGCTCACCTTCCTCGGCCTGGAGCTGCGCGCTCGGAGGGCCCTGCCGCGCCGCTGGGGCCTGGCCCTGGCCGCCGCGTGCGGCCCCGTGCCGTGGGCGAAGCACCACCTGCACGACCACACCGCCGCGCAGCTCGCGGTCGGGAGCCTGGCCGGGTTCGCGAGCGGAGTCTCGTACTTTGGCCTGCTGCGGTGCTGCCTCCTCGAGCGGATGGGGTCGATCGCAAGCGCGTGTGGCCTCGCCGACAGCTACAGCCCAGGCATCACGTCCGAACGCGAGGCTGCAGATCCATACCAGCGCCTCGCAGATGAGTGCGGCAGCGACGGTAAGTGAATGACTATGAGTGGCATTCTTGTCGACCTGGATGGACCCCGCGCCGAAACTACTCCCGCTTCGCGTTTCGGCTCCGGCTCCTCCTCGTCCTCCTCTTCTCCCCTGGGGGGGCGGCGCGAGAGCGCGAAGCTCTTTGCGCTCTCGCGTTTCGCGCAGCGCGAAGCGCGAAATGGGGCGCCCTTGTGTATGGTGTCTCCCTCACAGCCCACGCTAAACCACCCCAGCCGAACCCGAAGGCCCTGACTTACCCTCCACTTCCAGGGGGGGGGGGGCGTCGAGGAACATTGACAAAAAGAAGCACACGTGAAGCCCGCCTCCCCCCGCCCGAAATTTCGGGCCTTCTGGTTGGGCCGGGGTGGTCTGGTAGGCAGTCACGCCCTCCAGGCCTTCCGTGCCGATGAGCCGATGGGGGGGCCCGGGGGGCGCAGCCCGCCCCCCTGGCGCTGCCCGCAGTGGGAGGCGGTGGCTCCTGCCGGGCGCCGGGCGGCAGCGGCGCTGGCCGTGAGGCGGGCGTGTCCCTCTGCGGGAGGAAGATCCCCAAAAGAGTCGGAGGTGGATGGGCCGCCTACCCTGACACGTCGATGAGCGAATTTTGGCCGTTTTCGGTTCGCGAGAGGGCGTCGCGGCCGTCGTTTCTGCGGGTCCAGGTGCGTCGGTTTCGGTCCTAGGTCGTTTTCACTAAAGGGTAGTTTACTAAAGGGAGGTTTGTCCGCCGCCGAAATAGTCAAAAATAGTCTGAAGTCGATTTTTCGACCATTCTTTGACCATTTCTGCATATTTTCTTTTTAATTTTCATCTAAAAGCCGCCTGTAGGAGGTAGGAGGACATGCCCGACCTGACGCTGGCCTCGGGGAGGCCCCGGGTGGCTTGTTGGACGGGGCTCGCTCGCTCACTCGAAAGCCATGCATCCTGGCAGGACGCGCCGGAACGACGACCGCCGTTTGGCCGTCCGATGCTGCCCTCGCGCTGGCCTCGCCTTGGCTTGGGTCACCAGGCGCGTTCCACTACTCGCAAAGTGCCTACTCTCAAGCGTCCGAAAAAACACGTTCGCCTCGGTGTACCTCATCATAGATAATCCGCGGGGGATCCAGGCCATTTGCGAGTAGTTACTTTGCGAGCAGTGGAACGCGCTCGTCTATTGGGGCAGTCTTGGGGGGGGGGGGACGGAGCGGACAGAGGCTGGCCTCGGGGGGGGCCCGCGGGTGGCTCGGAGGGAGGCCCCATGCTGGCCTCCGGGCGGGCTAGGCGGGCCGTCTCCTGCGCCTCCTTCCCCCCCCCCGCCCCACTCTTCTTATTATTCTTCTTCCTCCTCCTCCTCCTCCCCCTCACCCTCCTCCTCCTCCTCTCCTCCTCCTCCTCCTCCACCTCCTCCTCCTCCTCCTCCTTCTTCCCCCTCCTCCTCCTCCTCTCCTCCTCCTCCTCCTCCTCCTCCTTCCTCCTCCTCCAAGAGGCCACGGGGGGGGTCTTCGGGGCAGAGCGGGTCGGGCGGGTGGCCACGGGGGGCGACTCACCCAAACGGGGGGTGAAGAAACGGGCCCTCAAAGGGCCCCTGTAAGGCCCCTTCTGGTTTGGAGCCAGCTGGTGACCCAAAGGGGCCCTAAAGGGCCCCTTTGAGGCTCTTCTCTGCACCCCCCAGTTGGGTCACCCCCCATTGCCACCCGCCCGCGAGGGGCCAGACCCAGAGAGCACCGGCTCGCGATCCAGAGTGGACCGCGCTCCGCGAAGGCGGGGCGGCGCAAGGGGGCCCTATTCCTGCCCGCTCGGGGGGCCGCGGGGGCTTTTTTTGTTTGTTTGTTTGTTTTTGTTTGTAAGCGTTTATATCGGATATTATTTTAGTCATCTGAAATTTCAAAATCCTCTTAATAATCCTGCTGGTGTTGAGTTGGGTCCTCGTCTTGAGTCCGCAGCGCCCCGCGTCTCCTCCTCCTTCCTCCTTCCTCCTCCTCCCCCCTCCTCCTCCTCCTCCTCCTCCTTCTCGCTCCTCCTTCCTCCTTCCTCCTCCCTCCTCCCTCCTCCCTCCTCCCCCCTCCCTCCTCCCTCCTCCTCCTCCTCCTCCTCCTCCTCCTCCCCTACTCCTACCCTCCTCTTCCTCTTCCTCCTCCTCCTCCTCCTCCTTACTCCTCCTCCTCCTCTCCTCCTCCCCCCCCTCCTCCTCCCCCCCCCCTCCTTCTCCTCCTCCTCCTCCTCCTCCTTTCCTCCTTCTCCTTCCTCCTTCCTCCTTCCTCCTTCCTCCTTCCTCCTTCCTCCCTCCTTCCTCCTCCTCCCCCCTCCTCCCATCCCCGCCTCTGCCCTCCGGGCGTCCACCTCGGCATACTCCTCGCACGCTTCATGGCCCCACAGGGAGCTCCGCCAGAGGCTTCCGTGGCAGGGTCCGCATGGCGGCGGTGCCTCTTTTCAGCGCACCCTTCACGCGTGCCGTGGCCCCCAAATGGAGCTCCAGCTAAGGCCCAAATGCCAGGATCCGCATGGCGGCGGTGCCTCGTTTCAGCGCACCCCTCACGCGCGTCGTGGCCCGATTCCGCATGGCGGCGGTGCTTCATTTCGGCACACCCCTCACACGCTCCGTGGCCCCGTGGGGAGTTGTAGGCGCGGCCCTCACGCTGGAGTCCGCATGGCATCGGCGCCTCCTTCTGGCACGCCCCTCGCGCACGCGTCGTGGGCCCCTACGCAGGGAGCTCTCCAGCGGGGGGAGCCGAACCCGGGCACGCGGGCGCCGCCACTGGATCGCAGCGCACGCGGCGATCTCGGCAGGCCGCGCACCAGAGGTCGCTCTCGTTGGGAGGCTCGGGAATGGGCACCCGCACCAGCACAGGGGGGTTTGCCTCCACAAGGGGAAGGGGCTCCTCGATCTCGGTGCTGCTGGGGGTCATCTCTCGGCCACCCGGGAAACCCGAGCAGTGCCACCGTCGCCGAGATCGGGATCGTCCTCCCTCGGTGGGGGCACGCCGCCGACACCTGGTGCTGGTGTCGACCCCTTGGGCCTCCGATCCTTGCCCGGGATCGGGACGCACGGCCTGGGGCCGTCCTCGGCCTCCCGGCGGGGCGGGGCCCTGCCTCCGCGCGGTGCACGGGGCCCTCCGAGGCCGCAGCTCGAGGGGCAGAGGCCGGCAGGAGCAGAAGCCCTTCGGAGCTCTCCGCGCGGAGTTCTCGGGCCTGCGCTGCCGGCCACCCCCTCCTGTGGCGGGGGGAGCGCCCCAGGGGCGGCGCCAGAGGCGCCGCCTCTGGGGGGCCTACTGGAGCACCCCTCGCTCGGTCCGCGGGGTCCCAGCGGCCCCAGAGTTGGGCCAGGCGCTGGGGACAGCTTGGGCCAGGGAGGCTTTCGTTCGATGCTCGTTTGGGGGGACCTTCCTGGGGCACGCCTATCATGGATCTGCTCGACTCCAGCTCGACTCAAGTTCGACTCAGGTTCGACTCAGGTTCGACTCAGGTTCGACTCAGGTTCGACTCAGGTTCGACGGACGTTCGACGCAGCTTCGACGCACGAGCGGAGCGATTGGCTCCAAGAAGGTCCCCAGAATGGGCACCTATCTTTCCAGCGCCGCGGACTTGGTACCCTGGTCAAGAACTCGGCTTAAGTCGGGTACGTCCCTCTACAGAAGGAATATTCAGAAATAGTAGAAAATAGCCTGGGGACGTTTTTTTTGTGTGACTATTTTCGACTTTTTTGGAATGTTTTCGGGGAATTCTTCATTTTTCGTCCAAGATCCGCCCGTAGTCGGCGTCACCCCAACTTATATTTATACTATATGTGCGTCGCCCCTCCAGGGGCGACGCGCGCACCGAGAAATCTTATACTATGTGCGTCGTGGCGGGCGCTTTCTGGCCACACCGCTCGAGAAACGATACACTACAAGATGGGTATACTATATGTTCGGGTCGGACGCGCGCCTCCAAGGAGGACATCTAGTATTAGTATGTCCCTGTGCGTCCCATGTAGGGGGACACGCCCGACCTAAAACTCGGCTCTCGGGCGGCCGTTCGGGACGATGCCCGGGCGCAGCCCGGGCGCGTCCCTCGGCGAGGCGCCAAGCGGCCCGCGAGGCCGAGGCGTCGGAGAACCTTTCCTGCCCCTGGCGGTGCGCGTCCCTTGGCGCGCGGTTTCCCAGGGGAGCGGAGGGGAGCATCGGGGAGTATGCTTTGACTCTTTGGGACATTTGGGATCTTTTGGAGCACTTGTCGCATATTTGTTGGGCTAGTCTGTACTTTTCGTCCAAAAATCCGCCTGTAGGAGGGCATGCCCGACCTAGACCCAAGCGCGCGGGCCGCTGATGCGGCACCGCACGCAGCGAGCCGCGCGGCGCGCGCGCGCGCAAAA